GGAGTGGGGAGTGGGGAAACTGGACAAGTTTCCTTCCCAGGAACCCTCGAAGGGACAACGGACAGGGCCTTTCGCAATCCTGGGTGTGTGGCTGGGGTTCCAGCGTGTCATGTTCCAATGGGCCGGACCCTGTGGGGGTCTGGTGGCAGCCCAGGGAGCCAGATGAGAGCTAAACTCAGGGCTCTGAGGTAGAAGTTCGTCACCTACGAGTGTGTGTGTGCACATGAGCTTGGGGTGCTGTTAGCTGGAAACTATGCGTTAGAGACACGTGGTCTGTGGTGATTTCTCGTTTTGTACGGCTTCCCCCACCTGTATAGCCCCGGGCGGGTGTCAGTGTCCCCATCTCTAGAGCGGGGATCACACCGTACCCACCTGCTAGGACTGACCAGAGGGTTATGCAAGCCAGGGCTTCCCAAGGGCGGAGCCAAGCACAGTGCCCGGGGCCCACTAAATGCTTCACTAACGTTGACTATTGAGGTGGCCATGACTATGCATGTAATTTATGTTTCTAATGGCTTTATTGGCATATAACTCACATACCACACTTCACCCACTGAAAGTATACTCAGTGGTTTTCAGTATAATCACAGGGTTGTGCAAGCATCACCACAATCTAATTTGGAGCACCTCACCCCCCGCCCCTCAAAAAGAGACTCGGTGCCTGTGAGCAGTGACTCCCCCCGCTCCTTGCGCCGCCCGCCCTGGTCTGCTTTCCGTCTCGGATTTGCCTCGCTGAGCATTTTTCATGAGTGGAATCATGCAGTGCATGGCCTTTGCGACTGGCCTCTTTCATTCAGCGTGACGTGTTTGAGGTAATTCATCTTTAAGAGAGGTTGTGTAGGAGCGTGTGTTTGCCTGTAATTTCTGATCATAATTCCTCAGGTTAAACCTGGGTTCTCTTTAACCAGCCAGTCTAATCTGACCACCCAAAGGGAGGGAGTGTAGGGTGTCGGTAACAAAATAATAATAATAAAATAAAACCACACATATTCTGCCAGACAGATTGAGTCCAAAACCCGGGTCTACCTCTTTCAAGTTTAGTGGCCTTAAGCAAGTTATGCATCCACCCTGAGACTCAGTTTGCTCTTCTGTAAAATGGGGACAGTCTGTCCATCACAGGGTCATGGAAGGGATTAAGTAAGGACACGTGTGCCTGGGACGTGGTCTGTGGCTAGTGGATGATTCTTCAGTAACAGTATTTTTTAAGATCTCTTGGCTGTTCCACATGGGGCCATATCGTGTGTTTAAAATATTCATTGCATGACTAATAAGTATAGATTGTATATAAGAAGGAATTAGAAAAACAGATGAATGAAAGCAAAACCAAGGCTTCAATCCCAGTATTAAGAGATAATTGCCATTACTATTTTGGGAAAACAAGTCTAGATTTTCTTTCAATACTTTTGCGCATATATATATATTTTTTCCCCCAACATGCTGCTTTTACACATTACATATGGAACACATTTCCATATCAAATATACAACCGTATGTATTCCTAAAATAAATAGAAGGTTTTTCGATTACAGTTGCCATTCAATATTAGTTTCAGGGATACCACATAGTGGTTAGACATTTATATGGAACATAACTTATAGAGTGTCACCTTGTCTTATGCGACACGTAGTTGTTACAATAGTAATTAATGGCTGTGCCCCCACGTTAGGGCAGTTACCTGCGAGCGCTTCTTCAAATGGGTCCTTGGTCTCTTTCTCTCTTCTTCTCTGTGTGGTGCCTCTGTGACATGAGTGTTGCTTTGCTTCATGTCCCCAAGAAGTCCCTTAAACTATCCTCATTTTTTAAAATCCTTTTTTCTTTTTGTGCTCTTTCAGTTGGCTGTTTGTCCCTACCTTGTCATCCAAATCGCTGATTCAATCCTCTGCTTCATCTCCTCTGTTGTCGGTTCTCTGTAATGTATTCTTCCTTATAGTTATTCTTTATTTCTGACTGGTTATTGTTTTATGGTTTCTGTCTCTTCATTGAAGTTCTCACTGCATTCATCTATCCTTCCTCTATGTTTGTTACCTGTCCTATAACCAGTGTTTTGAACTCTGTATCTGGTAGATTGCTTGTCTCCATTTCGTTTAGTCTTTGTTTGTTTTGTCCTGTTTTTACACTTGAGACTTTTTCCCCCCTCACTTGGCTGATTCCCTGTTGGTTTCCATGTGTCAGGTAGGTCTGCTCTGTCTCCCTGTCTTGGTAGAGTGGCCTAATACAATAGGTGCCCCATGAGGCCCAGGGGTGCCCTCTCCCTGTTCACACGAGCTCCAGGCTTGTCCCTTGTGGGTTTTTGTGTGCCCTCCTGTTGTAGTTGAGTCCTGGTTGCTGTTGGCACATCAGTGGGAGGGACTGACTCTCAGGCTGGCTGGCTGTGGGGACAGAGGACTGCAGAGAACAAGCTGTTGTACAGGGACTAACCCTACAAAGCCGGAGTCACTCTGGTGGGGCTCTGGTGCCAGCCGGGTCCACCCTCTGTGTGTCATTTGTGGAGGAGTTTGGGTGGCCTCCAAGGTGTGGTCTAAAACCAGTTGGGTTGGTTCTGGAGTCAGCATAGCGGGTGCCCTTGGCCGTGGGTAGCTATCTGAATGAGGCATGGTGGGGGCTTCTGGGTACTGGGAATACTCTCATTCTTGATCCAGGGGCAGATTACACAAATTGTTCTCAGAAAAATTGTGGATCAGTACACTTGTGAGCGATGCAGTTTTGTCTGTATGCGTGTTCCATCACAACAAAACACTTAACTTGAAAAGGTCAGTAATTCTGCTCAGCAGGAATTTACCCTGAAAGAAATAATACAACAGGTATAAGAAGATGAATACAGGAACGTGTTCACTTCTGCATTCATCATAACAGCTAAAAAACTGGACTCGGCCTAAGCAGATTTGTCAAATAACTTGTGGTATGTTTTGCCAATTTAAAAAAGGATGATGCCTTGAAAAAGGGCAGTTTTATTTCTGGTCCGAAGTGACAGAGTGGAAAGATTCTGTGCTCGCCTCCTCACACGACCCCATCAGAGTGGCAACTAATAGAACAGCCACCCTTGAGAATGGCTTGACTAGCCAGGGAGAAGTCCTGTAACTAAGGATGCACAGAGGAAGCCGTGTGGAGCCCGGTAGGAGGCACAGAGATGCTAAACGGGCTGGTCCCCCACCCCCGTGTGGCAGTTAAGAATCCGGAGGGGTAGCTCAGCCGTGGAGGTCCCCACTGAGGAGCGAGGGGTCCCAGTCCCACACTCGGCCCCCCAGCCCAGGCCCAGGGGAAGAAGAGGCCCCATAACACTGGCTGGGAAAACCAGCAGGGGCTGAGCCCAGAGGGCTGCTGAGGTCCCAGGCGTTTCGCTTGGGGGGCTCACTCACTGACAGACACACGTGCTTGAGCTCCCACCCTGGGCAGCAGCTGGAGAGCCAGGGTCACATGGGGCAGAGCAGAATGGACCTGAGTCAGGGCGAGAGCTGCAGGGGCAGGTGTCGGGGGGCCCTCTCCCAGGAGGGACGCACAGGCAGGTGCCATTGTCCCTTTGTTGAGCACCCCCTGCCCCCACCCCCCGCCAATGGCAGGCTCAGGCAGACGCCATACCCGAGTCTCCATGGACCTGGCTAACACCCTTAAGCACCCTCTCCCACCCCCTGTGATTCCCTGAGACCCCACTCCACCCAGTTCAAGCCCTTGGCCCCAGCTGCTTGCAGCAGCTTTTTCTCACAAGCTCATGATGTGGACTTTCTTAAAGCACTCAAAGGTCCACAGACCCCACAAAAGCAATGGCTGGCCCCAGCGTGCCCTGTACCTCTTGCTAAGAGGCCCCAAGGCTGGTACCAGCAGTGCTGTGTCTCACCTTGCATGTAACTTCCATCAGGCGGCCCCAAACCCGCCTGGTGCTGTATCCAGTGCTGGCTTGGAACTCGGCTTCCACTGAGTGGCCCCAAGCCTGGACCAAGGGGGACAGGCGTCCGCTCACATCAGGGCCCCAAGCCTGGCACCGGGGGCAGCCAGCCTCAGTGCACAGCGTAGCCTCTCCCAAGCGCCACCAAGCCGCACAAGCGCCACCCAACCTCAGATCACTCTCTAGCACTCACCAGGCGGCCCCGACCTGAGCGAAAGCATCCACTGGGGCTGGTCTGCGCCCTGCACGTTTCTCACTACGGGTCTCCCAAGCAACTTCCAGCCGCAGCCCAAACCACTGCCCGCCTCCCCACTGCTCTCTTTAAATTGTTTTTTTTTTTTTTTCAATTACAGTTGGTTCAATATTGTATTAGCTTCAGGTGTACAGCAGAGTAGTGAGACATTTATGTAACTTACAAAGTGATCCCCTCGGTAAGTCTAGTGTCCACCTGACGCACACACCTGGTTGTTGCGATAGTATTGACTGTGTTCCTGGGGCCGTGCTTTATAGCTCCATGGCTGTGTTTATACCTGGGCGGTCTTATTTAACCCCTTCACCTTCTCCACCCAACCCCTGCCCCGGCCCCCACCCCCGCCTCAGCCCCCTGCTATTTGGCAGCTGTCAGTCTGTTCCCTGTATCTGCGAGTCTGCTGCTGTTTTGTATGTTTATTTTGTTTTTTAGATTCCCCATCTAAGTGAGATCCTGCGGTATTTGTCTTTGGTGCATTTCTCTGGGTACAGGACTACACAAAGGGCCTTTCTCAGCGAGGAAAGACCCATCTTCAAGGGCGGGAGAGGATAGGACCTCATAGGGGCTGGAGGAGAAAATGACCTGGGTCTCATTGTCCTGTCCCAGGAGCAGCTGCCATCAGAAATGGCTGTATTATTGCTAAGGGGGTTAGAACTGATGACCATGGAGCTGCACCACCGGGTGGGACACCCTGTGTTGACTCTCTCATCTGTTGCTGGGTTTTGCGTTGGGGGGAGGGGGCAGGAGTATGGAGGGAAGAGGGGGCCGGGGATGAGGCGGAAGAACAACCACAGCCTCCCTCTGGCTGCTCCGAGCCAGCGGTCAGCAGTGTCTCTCTCACTCTCTCATTTTCTTTTCTTCTCTTCGCAGTCTCATCAGACCAGATCGAGCAGCTCCATCGGAGGTTTAAGCAGCTGAGTGGAGACCAGCCCACCATTCGGTAAGGGCGGCAGTGGGTTTGGGCGCTGGCTCTTGGGGAACTTCTCTTTCCGTTTCTCTCTTTCCCGGGGCACCAGGGGACTCCGGAAGAGCCCCAGGATGCCTGTTTCCTGGAGTTATTTTCATCCTTCTGGTCCCTTCTAGAGAAGATGCTCTCCACTGGGAGGGAGAGAGACACACCTGTGTCTTTTGGGATCAGAAAAGTGTAACTTGAGTGAAGACAAGGGGAGGGACCAAGGAGCCAGCCAGCCACCCTGGCCTTTCCTGGACATCCTTGGAGCAGGCTTTTGGCTCCTGGTGCTTGGAATCCCAGGCACACATTGAGGGCCTGTGGAATCAGCCTCCTGCCCACTGTTGGGTGCAGCCCTGGTCTGGGGCTCAGGTGTTGTCTTGAAGTCCCATCTCTTGACTCTGCTTCCTCTGGGCTGTCAGTTCTAACCTTGGTTAAGGTGGTGGGCGGCAGCTCCCGATTTCTGTCGAGAGAAATTGCCGCCCTACGCTGCGCATTTTAACTTTTGTCTTTTCAAAGCTGTGTAGGTTATGTTTTTCATGAGGACCAATGCCTTGCACTGTGTCATCTTCTGGGACAGTGAGTTTAGTCTTTGATGGTGGTTGAGTTTTTGGAATAAGGTCAATGATAGATCCTATCAACAAGTCAATCTGAGTTGGTGAGGAAGCTTTGAGGTGAACCATAGCAACCAGAGTGTCCAGCATGCAGTGGATGCTCTTCTACCAGAAGCTTTCTAACAGGTAGGGTTTCCTAAACACTCAGGGTCTTAAGGTTACAGTATTGGAATTTTTAAGACACACCTTTTAACAATCCAGGAAAACTTCCTTCTTAATACACAGACTTAAAATTTCACTAAGCTTTATGGAAACTGATATGTAAATAGCTAAATTCTCTTGTTAATCCAGTGCACTGCATTCTCAAAGCACCCTTCTCCAGAGCTTAGACTCTGGTGGTCTCAAGGATCATGTGGCTTCCTGTCTCAAGTTGATTGTATCCAAGGCAGATGTAAAGACACGTCAGGACTTACACCTTTAATTCTCTATCTCACTCACTAAGCCCAGTGAAAGAGTGCAGAGCCCAGCAAAAGATCGCCTGTTTCTCATTGGCTCTCAATTGGGTCACATGACTGAGTCTGAGCCAATCACGATGGCTTGGGCCAGAAATGCAAATTATTTTTTCTCAGAGCTGTGAGGAGGTGGGTGGGGCTGGGTCATCTGCCAAGGGGAGGGCTAGTGGGCAGGGATTGAGGGGACAGAGGGGCGGGTGGGGGGGGGGAGTGGTTTCCCAGGGCAAGGCTAGCCTCCTGTGGCCATGGGCCGAGGGGTGGGTGCAGGGTGAGAACAGCTCTGTTGGGTGCCTTGAGGTCTAATGAGAAGTGACACTTTCGCATGCTGGACATTAGGACACGGGAATGTCAAGGCATCCTTCATTCCTTCAGAAGTTCATGGGCATGTTGTTGTGCCAGCCAGCGCCTGTGCTGGTGGACCCGACCGCCATGCGGCTTGCAGTGGGGGGCGGGGTGTCAAGGCCCCAGTCTCAAGATCGTCTTCAGCACACTGAAGCCCCAGCCCTGTCGCGAGCCAGCTTGGGGCTCTTGCTCTTCTGGGTCTGGGGCCATGGGTCTTGGCTGGTAAGAGATTCAGGTTCAAATCCCACATGTGTTTCCCTTTTCAGACCCGGGGGAGGCAGAGACAAAGTCCCAGACTTGGGAAGCCGATCATCTTTGACTCTTCAGTATCGCGGGCTGTGTGCCTGTGGGTCAGTTGCTTTGCTTCTCTGAGCCTGGCTCACCTGGGACGTGAGCATGCTCGTTTGGGTTGGATTTGAGCTTGAAAGATGAGCAGACGCATGCGAGTCGATTCCACTCTGAGCAGAGTTTGTTGGCATTTGGCAGAGGGGGCTGCCATTGTTCTACCCATTCATGTCCCTCCTTGAGATGCCCAAGCAGTGGTCATCTATGGCTGGGGTGGGAGTGGGGGGCAGAGCGCAGACGCTGTGGGAAGGGGAGGCTGCCATGCCATTGGCGGCCCCTCCCACTTAGAGTTTCTAGCATCTGAGTCCTGACTGTTGCCCAGCAGCCTCTCAGAGGCCTTTGCAAAGGCTTCCTGAAACCTTAAATTCTGTGCCACTTCTTTCCACCGAGTATGTGTGCTGAGGACCCAAGAACTTGCTAGAATGCAGGCTTGACTACAGCAGGCCTGGGGCGGGACCTGAGACTCTGCATTTCCAGCAAGCACGTGAGCACCAACCTCCTTGACTGCGCTGAGTCACGAGGCCTAGGGTGGCGAGCACAGTCCTGGAGCGAAGTAAGTGCTCAGCAAACGCAGCTTGGTGTCTGTCCCCCACCGCAGTGGAACGCCACCCGCTCTGCCGCCACCTGGCCTCGGCCGGCCGTCTGTCCGCCAGGCTTTCCCCGTCTCTGACTAAATCCAACACGTCTACTGCATCTTAGCAGGAAGGTCTGTCCCGGTTCCCCGTCCCCGGGCCTGGCCAGCACCCGGACAGGCTCTCAAGGCCCCCCCCCCCCTTTCCTCTGCAGCAGCCTCAGCATTTGTTGTTGTATCAGGCGCCGCAAACATCTGTTTCTGCTTCCCCGGCGGACAGTGAGCGCCAGTGTGTTCGCGGATCAGCGGGGAACCTTGCTAGAAAGCAGGTTTCGATTCAGCCTGGAATGGCACCTGGGACTCGGCATTGCTAGCAAGCGTGAGAGGGTTTTGGTTAGGCTGGCCTCACCCAGCACAGAGGCCGGCACCCAGCGGGCCCTCCAGGCCTGGAGGGATGGGGCCGCGCCCCCACAGGCACTGAGCAGCCCATCCCGGCTAGGCTCGTGCCACTCCCTCCTCACAGCCAGGCCACCCACCGGCCGTTTGCCCCTCCCCTGCAGGCTCACTCCCAGGGCCTCGGTGCATCGTCCTTTTCACACCTGCCTGTGCATGCAGACCCCCACAGTGTCTCCCTGGGCCCAGAGAGCAGCCCTGCTCCCCAGCCCTCAGGGGCTCCCCAGTGCCCTCAGGCACGTCCCTGCTCTTGAGCAGTGTCCTACACGGACTTCAGATATGGGCTTCTGCTCTGCTCAGGTCTTGGTGTGGCCACTGCCTCCTCCAGGAGACCCCTCCTACCGCGTGCACCCCACAGCCTCCTTCTGGGGGTGCCCCATCCCAGCGTTCTGAATTGTCACCGTCTCCCTTCCAGCCGCCATCCCTAACAGACTGCCAGCCCTTTGGGGAGCTGGAGCTAAGACTTTTTCCCTGGCCCTCGTGCGTGCTGGGGGCTTATAACAGAGTAGATGCCCTGGGAGTATTTGCCTGAATGAGTGAGTGAGTGAGTGAATGAATGGGCACAGAAGCGAGAAACGAGGGAGTGAGTATGAGCACTAGAAACTCCATTATAATTTATAAAGCTTGGTATGGATGAGACCCATCATAAAGAGTAAATACCCTCAGAGGGTTTACCGAGTGCCTGTGGAAGGGTTTATCTGGGGCTGGGCACAAATGGCCACAAATGCCAGCTATTGTTATTCAAGCACGCTTATGTGCTGTCTAGCTGGAGCCTGTTACTTCTGCCCTGTAAACCCTGGCAGGAAGTAGTGGTGGGGAGACCTGTTCTCCCCACGTGACAGGTGACTCAGAAGCCCACGTGTTGAGCTCAGGTCACACAGCTTGTAAATTGGAGGAGCTGGGATTTGATCCCAGTGCTGAGCTCTTGCAGCAAGGAAGCTGTGACTTGGCGAGTGACTTCTGAGGACCTGGGTCTCCCTGCTCTGCCATCTGGGACTGTCCACCCTTGACGTCCCGGGGTGAGGGGCCCATGGTTGTCACCGTGGCAGTCCCTGCTCCATAACTCACTGGCTGTGCTGGGAGGCTCCTGTGTGTGACGGCCCCGCCCACCTGCAGGAAGGAGGTGGACTGACCGCAGCATCTTATGCAAACAGGCCTGCAGGAAGGGCCTCCTCCCAGGCTTTCCCTTGCCTAACCCTAACCCGCTGCCCTCCACGCCCAAGAAGGGAGACCGGGCAGCTCTTCGGTTTCCTGGGCTTTCCTATCTTCCTGGGGCAGAGGAGGGAGCCGTGGGCTGCGACCTGGTAGCCAGCGCTGTTCCCAGTCTGCCAAGGGCTTCCTAGAGGACCTATGGCTAGGCCTTCAACCTCCCTGATCCCCGGGCATGTCCAGGGAGCCTGGGTTGTGTGGGGGTTTGGGAGCAGGGAAAGCATTTATTTCTTCAGTGTTTGCACACCTGTTGGTGGCAGCTGGCCAGGTGGGGACATTGAGAAAGGCGTTGACTGGGATCCCCCAGGGTGGCCCCCACACCCCGGTCTGTGAGAGGGTTGGGAAGCAGCTCCTCGCACCCTCCCCCAGGGGGTATCTGAAAACACTGAGTGCAAAAGGCCCATTAAAAGTGACCGTGCAAACCCACAGACTTTGTGCATACACAAGTAAGATTTGCAAGTTGCACTTAGAGCCTTCAGGAAGACTGGGTTTCAGAACTTGTGACTTCAATACATTGATTGTAGCTTTTAAAAAAATCAAACGAGGTAAAAGTGCCAAAATTGATTTTAATTCAAACCCACTGTTTCCTACCTATGTTCGGTGGTGCAACTGTAGAAAATAATGTAAGGACATGATTTTGCGGGGGGCAGGCAGTTTACCCCGAGGCCTTTAAAGCAGGGCATTGGGGCCCCACCCTGGGTTCCTTTCACAGCTTAGCACCTAATTTTTAAAAACTTCATAATGGTGCATTCTTTTTCTTCTTCTTTGGCCCCCCAAATCTGAATGCCCCCTGGCCACAAAACACTGAGTCCTGGGGCCTCGTGGCCTCGTGGTGGAATGCTTGAATAATGTCACCTGGCACATTCATTGAGCACCTACCATGCAAGGACTTCGGTTGGTCTCGTCCTAAAAGCTTTTCATCTGGCAAGGACAACCCTCCCCGAATAACCCATGAAAAGACACTGGTGGTAGACAATGAAGAAAATGCAACCATGGCATCTTGCA